ACGTTATTCACTTGTTTTTTTCACTACACATTCGCTCTGAGACTTGTACAGGATTTGTAAACCCATCTTCAGGTACACCAAAAGWCAAAGCATCACGAAGATCAGGCGGTTGCTCTTCGTGTTCTACTCCTTCTCTTCTCGTCTCGTTATCATCGTGAACATCACCATATGATGGTGGTGGTATCAGAAGTGCACCTCCTACAGCCCCATAACCTGGGAGTCCGTCCTGTTCCTCCTGTTCTCTTGATCGAGCAGCTTGATCATTTATATTTGCTGGCAACAAGCGACGATAATGAGGAGTACGTTGAGTTCGAACTACGCCGTGATATCCTGACGGTGATGCCCTTCGATGGCAGAAACATCCAATCGAAATCAAGATTACTGTTCCTACGGCTGCTACAGCTACTATGATCCAGAAATTATCTAAAATAAACATGAAAGACTATTATCATAATAATATTGACAACCCACCAACCCACCGACCCACCGACCCACCAACCCACCAATCACCCACCCAACCAACCTTTTTATTTTATTATATTCAATTATTTATGCATTCATTAGTTCATTTATGAATTTTCCATCATTTCTCTTACAAGATAAAGTTCTTGACACGTAAACTGGAAAGGTGGGAAACATAGTAGATGAAGATACCACGGTAGGGCCTGGAGGTGTGGTAGGCGGAACATTCACGGGACATCCATCCGGACAGCAGCACTTGTGTTCTACTTCAAGGATCTTATAGAAAGAAAATAAAAAAGCCAACTAAGAATTATACCCTGCAAATATATTGTATTGGCTTTGATTAAGGTACCTGCAATCCTCTACCCCTTGAAGTTAAGAATAGCATGCAGAGCAGGCGTTCTTGTGGGCTTATCGAAAAGTTAGAGTTAAAATCTGGTTTTTGGTTCCTGTTTCAACTACATGCCAGCAAGACATGAAATTGGGAACTAGCAAAAAATGGAGCTTCGCTTTTTTTGCTAGGTTTCAGTTGTCGCTCGTTCAAAATTTCCAGAGTTCTCCTAAAACCACGGATTTCACCCAAATTTCGCTGAAACCCTTAAGAACACCTGCTTTGCAGGCTACATGAAGAATGTTTCAGGGATGGATATCAATGATATTAGGATCAACAATAATGCTTTTAATTTCAATAGACCTTTTTTTACAAACACAGCGGCCATCTTGAATTCTATTGTTTTGATCAAGATATTATGGGATGCCGAGGGGGACATCCCATAAATCAAGATGGCCGCTGTATTAGTAATAATAATAGAGAGGTTAAGCTTCTCGTTTACGGCAAACGTGAAACGGCAGTTGACCATTAGAAAATTCTTTAAAATTAGTGAAAAGGAATCGCAAAAATCTCTAAGTAGTAGATCAAAATAAGTGTCTTTGTCGGGAAGGTTTGCAAAAGGTTAAGTGAATTGTAGGGAAACGATGAAAACGTGGTCACGTTTGCCGTTTGCGGAAAGGAAAAACGTGAATCTTAATCTGCCTAATGTCTGTAAATACTTGGTTTTTCTTCTCTTACTGGTTCTGCCGCATCTCGTATTATATTCATCTTGGCCTCACTACCCAGGGTTTTGCTTTCGTTACATTTGAACTGAACGGTAGAAACCATTCCCAGGCGCCTTGATTGGAAACAATGAAATCATAACTAACACGAAGTTATAAGATAAAATTGAAATGAACCGTATCAACTACATTTTGTAGGTTAGAGCAGTTTTCGTATGACTGTGAAAAGCTCACGGCACGAACACGGTCGTGACACGGCAAGGCGTACGCCAGACCAATCACATTGCACGAGAATTTACTCTCTGTCCAATCAAATACCCAGAACACGGCACAAACACGGTGAGGACATGGTCACGCCACAGTCACGGCACTGCTAAACCAAGCACATGCATTACGCGAGAAAAAAAACAGCCAATTGAAATTCTAGAAAACATCATGGTCACTGCACGGCACGCTTAACGCACTGAGCTTTCCACATTCATGCGAAAACCGATCTATAATTTTATTACCAATCTTCAGGCTTATTTATTACATGCAATGAATTACATGCAACTACGTGGGCTAACTATTTCCACACACACACACACAAAATACTACATTACTACGAGAAACCATAGCTTTCTAGCACCAACTACTGAGTATTAGTAAAGAGGCTACGTGATAGATTTAACTTAGTGATAAATTTAAATTTAGCTTATCGTTAAGGGCCACAAGTTTATTAGCATAGTTTTTGCTAATTAGGTGCCACCCTTGTTAAATAAAGGATTTATTATTAATCTTTTTTCCTATCAAGAGTCACTGAGTATAGTGGGCTCTATTAGGAACACTGTTCTTTGTTCGGTATGTTGATGAAGGGTTGCACTGCGCGAGTGTAATGAACGAACAAATGAACGAATAAAGAAGGCTCGACATTAGTAACTTACGTGCCTCTCTGCCCGAAAAT